GCTGGCTTTGCCTTCCACCTGCTGCCTGCTCCCTCTGTTCGCACTGCTCAGTATGCCCGCCATTGGTCCACCAGCTTCTGCGCAGGATGCTGCCCTGAAACCGCGTGCGCCAGCCCGGCCTGCAGCAACGCATCTAGGCTTTCGGTCAAAGCTGGCTCATCGTACCCAGCCTCGACAACGGCGGCAACGTCTCGGCGCGTAAGCGTGCAGCTGGCTCCGCACGAGCGAAAGAAGTCACCTAATATCTCCAGGACTTCGTCGACTGAGGGCGCCTCTGGCTTTGGCGGCTCGCAGAAGCGCTCTACCTGCGTCCTTGCTGCGCTTCCCTGCACGCCTAAGAGGCCAGCAGCTGGTTGGGCTTGGGTCCTCACGTCCTTGCCGCGCGTTGCCGCACGCACTAAGGCATCAAAGTGATAACCATGTCCTGTCGAGTCAGTGTGGTTGTACACATACAGTGTACACCGGCTGTCGACGGGCTCAGCGCCCCACGTCAAATCTACATACGCTAGCTCCTCCGCAGCTTCGCCGAGCTCCGCTTGCTTGAAGCAATCATAGAAGTGCACCCGAACAGATATCTCGGCCGGCCAAAGCTTACGCAAGAAAAAGCTTAGAATGCGCGGCGCATCTCTGTGCCCGTCCAAGTATACCCCGCGTGGGGTTCCATGCTCCAGCAGCAAATGGTCCCGGCACAGTGCACAAATAGCCGCGCGCTCATCCACGGAAGACGTCTGCGGAACCACGCCGGTCACCATGAGGCACAGCAACAATGAATCAATAAGGCAATTATTGACACCATGGGAGGAAGCCATCATGAGGGTCAGGCCTTCCGCTTCCAGTTGGCACAGCCGTTCTCGGTTCGAGGTCAGGCGGACAGGCGCATTAGCACCAGCAACCCGCAAGAAACGCTTGCCATGGCCACATTGTCACTGCCATCAGCTTCCAGCTCTGTCCATCCCTGCCACGAATCTACCCAATCTTGCGCCAATAACTCTTCCACCTGCTTTGTATCACTCAGTACAGACAAGCAAATCCCAGCCACTAGAGATAGTTGGAAGTCAAAACAGTCGCGGCCACACATGCCTGCATATTTGATTTGTTGTGGGGATTGTATTCTTTTGTGCCCGACATGTATCTGCAAGCTATTACAAGCCTGCTGACGTGCTTCTTGTGCTCAATCTTTGTGAAACTTCTCTGGATCCCCTTTAGGGACAGAGGACAAAATACTGAGCCAAGAAGATGCAGTACCACATGCGAAGACTCGGGGAGCGCCACAAGGCATCCTGCCGACAGTGCACGGTGCCACATGAGCTTCTGCCAAAACGTCCTGTCAAGTAGACGAGCATATGATTTAGCAACGTTCTTGCTTTTGAGCGGGGCCCTAGCGTGGCTTTGCTTCGCCCTGTTCCTGAAACAATCATACCGCATCATGCCACTCTTGACGAAATGAATCATTGCTGACTGTAAAAACATCTAAATCTAAGTAATATCGCCCTACATAGGTCACTGGACTTGTCCGTCACCCAACGCGAGGGGCGTGAACGCTCCTCACGAAGCCTGGGAATGGTACATTGGAACAACCCGGGTGCGCTCGTTGGCAGGCACGAAGATGCGTGATCAGCAAATCTGGGGGGTAAATTCTCTCCGCTTTTGTATGCCCTCAGTCGGAAAGAGGGGTAAGCATTTCTGACATCATACGGACTGTACATACACTAGGTCGTCCGTAGTGTAGGAGAAGCACGGGTAAAAGGTATATGGAATAGAGTGTCTTGAGGAAAAAGCCTGTTTGTGGTTATTGCCAATCTGGGGGGGAAATTTACCCCCCGCTTATGTTGGCGCTAGAGAATGTAAATGCGACATCGCTGACTGGGCAGGGTACATTGGAACAACCCGGGTGCACTCGTTGGCAAGCACGAAGATGCGTGCTCCGCAAATCTGGGGGGGTAAATTTACCCGCCGCTTTTGTATGCCTTGAGTCGGAAAGAGGAGTAAGCATTTCTGACATCATACGGACTGCACATACAGTAGGGCATCCGTAGTGTAGGATAAGCATTGGTAAAAGATATAAGGAGTGGAGTGTCTTGAGGAAATAGCCGGCTTATGGTTATGGCAAATCTGGGGGGTCAATTTACCCCCCGCTTATCTATGCCTTCAGCCGGAACGAGGGGTAAGCATCACAAGGACTGTGCATACACTAGGG